TTTTAGCATTTGTTCTCCTGACTACAAAGATAGCTTAAAATACTGGTAATTCCCACAATTCATTTTTTGTCTTTTTATTATTTTTGTTACTATATGTTATTGGCTAGAGTTTTACTTTCTGTAATAACAGTAACAGATTTGCTATCACAGTGTTGAATAGTTGGTATTTGTGAAAAAAAAAAACAGATGAGTGTTTAAGCTTGTAGTGAAGCTTTATTCAATACAATTTGACTACTGCCCATGAAGTTCAACCATTCCTTTTATAGTCAAGTAGTTCGAGGGGGGAACAACTATGTTTGCCTTTCACCATTAATTTTATGTGTAGAAGAGGAAATAACATATTTAAAGTATAAATAATTAAGCACAACTTAGATTTTATTAAAGAATTTGTTTCAACAACAAACAAAAAGAGTTGTATATAAAAAATGAAATTATAAGTTGTAGTATTTGGCTAGCATGGTAGAATTAGTATGGTCATAGGTATATAGATGACATTACTTCTTTCTTTGATATATACTACAGCTTTGTACTAATCAACTTCTATTTGTTTTGAGAGAGAGATTTTTGGGTGCTCTGTGGTCTACTTCAGTATTTGAGATCTATTTTATATGCATAGTATATGGTCTACCTCAGTATTTGAGGTTTACGATATATATATATATATATATATATATATATATATATAGAATGCAGTCTATCTCAGTATTTGAGGTCTACCATATATGTATAGCATGTAGTCAACCTCAGTATTTGAGGCCTACCATATATGTTTAGAATGCAGTCTATGAGGAGGCATGGTGAAGTAATGGATAGCAGCTCAGATTGAGGAATCAGAAAGCTGAGTTCGAATTCCAACCAAATCCATTATATTCACTTACATACTAATACCCTTGGGAAAGGTATGAATCCGCTCCCCTCCCCCCCAGTTATGGGTAAATAGCAGGACAGACCAGGTTCTCTAGCCTTGGATGGTAACTGGTCTACTGCAGAAAGAAATGGCAACCTACTGTGGGAAAAAAAAAACTGCCTCATCAGCCATGTATCAAAAGATACATGATTGCCTAAGCGTGTATCCCACATGGCACATAACTGACTGATATGTTATTTGTATTGTGGTAGACCATATACTACAACAGAAACATTGCGTTAGACTTCATACTTCAATAGCACTCAATTTTTTTAATGTTTAAAAAATTGACTTATACACTGGCATATGTAGTATGTGTTAAAATTAAATTTGAATTTTAAGTACATGAGAACATCATTCTTGAGTGAAAAATTATTAATTATTCTTAAAATTATAAACATAAATAGTTTAGTGATTATTATTTTTCCATTAAAAAAGAAAAAAACTTCAAGGTAATTTTTTCCGTCCGATTCACAACATTTCATTTTTGTAGGGTGACAAAATTTCAAACAGATAAAAGATGAACAATTTTTTCTTTTAAGTCAACTGAAAATGCTTGATTTGAGGCACACACATACACATGCACACACATTAAAAAATTTTCAGTAAATATCTTTATTTTACCCCCTACCCCTAACCAAGGGTTTGTTTTTTTTCTTTTTATAAATCTTTAAAGACAGGAATGTCAAATAATATCTCGTGTTACAGTTTCAGGACTGAGGAAAATACACAGAGAAAAATACATGGAGGATATTTTTTTTAAATAATAAATTTTTTTAATTTTTTTTTTTTTAATCTTTCTGTTGTTATTCAAGTTTTTCATTCTTTATTCAATTATAAAAAATCATTTTAAGACATGAATGCTAGCTGGCTTCTTCATCTGCCACAATATCAACACCAATCCTCCTAGACGCTACCATTGATATAACCCAACACCTCCCTGGACAAATACAATCATTGAATAAATTAAAAAATGTCTCATAGCAGGTAGGAAGCTGGGTAGACTGTCAGGCAGGCAGAGTTAATCTTGAGTTATGAATGCAGGACGTGCTCTAAAATTGAAGTGGAATTTTCAAGATGTAAAAAGATTTTTTTTTTCATATTTGTGGTTTTTTTTCCCCTTTCAATTGGTTGCACCTCTTTATTCTTTGCAAAATCAGAAAAGTAGCCAAATAGTTGGAAATTGTTCCTATGAATTACAATGGATTGAGGTCATAGCAGAAAGTTAAATACCAAGAAAAACAAATCAGAATAACAAATGGTCACAGTGGATGATAAAGCAAAAGACCAAATAACTAATATATAATTAGTATATATATTAGGTGCCTAATATAAGGGGAGTCTTAACCAATAAGTGGGGAGGATATTTTCAATATACAATAAACTGGAGTGTCTTAATAAAAGTAAAGATAAGAAAATCACTTAAAGGGTTAAAAATTTAGAAGTTATGTAAAGAAACGTTTTTTTAAGGGGGGTTAAAATTAAATTTATCAAAAGAGGGAACATGGTAATTTAAAAAAAATAAAATTGAACCCACGATTTTTTAAACAATGCAATCATAAAAACGTACAAGTTAAAACTTGAATTAAATATAATAATTACCGTTTCCTGTTTAAGCTCTGGGAGGAGTAAAGTGCAAAATTAATAAACAGGAGGGTCTTAATCTCTAAGTGGAGAGGGTTGGAAAAATTCCAAAAATATAAAAAATAAATAAACATTCACTCCTCACTTTTATCAAGTACCTAAGGGTACTAAAATAAATAACTATTTTCTTATATATGTGCAAGTTATATATAAGTGTATACTGTATATATGTATGCATAAGAAAGATAACAGAATCCATATATATATACATGCATACACACATACATACAAGGTCTATGTAGTTTGTAATGTAATTGTGCATGCATATGTATGTATATATTTTTTTGAATTTTGTTAGCTAATTGATTGGATGAATTTTATATTACAAAATTATTACATCCTGTTTCTATCTGAATCAGCCAAATTAATTTATGCCAAATATTTAGAGTGAATTATTATTAATTTTTGACAAGTATTTATTTCATTTTATTTCTGCCACCTTTCATTGCAACTCCCAGATTGTAATTCTATAATCAAAGAAAACAATGTGAATCAGATTTAAGGAACGTATCTCTGGTGAGATTTGAACTCACATCCCTTGATCTTTAAATCATGTTTTTATTCTTTATTTTCAATCTGCACTACTTGCTTAATAATTACATAATGATCAGTGATTTGTGAAGGAAAATAGCAACAGAAACAAAATCAAAGAAATATTAGCCCAAATGAATAATTAAGTGTTTCATCTAAGAGATTCAAATAGTGTAATATAAATAGTGAAAAAGAAAAAAAAGACTATCAATCACCCAGTCAAGAGTTTAATGCTATACTAATCCACTGCCCCACAATGAACAAACATACATATACATTCATGACTATATAAATATGTGTAAATATATAAATACATACACACTTGCACACGCAGACACTTCATGGTAGGAGACACTGAGAACAAATTTTCAGGGAAAACTGACACAATTAATGCCAGAGTTTCTTCTTGCTAATGCAGCCAAAAGCAAATATCTTATGTACAAGGACAATTGAATAACCAACCACAGCATTGTTAATTCTTCAGGCCCAAAATATAATGAAACCAGCCCCAATGAGTGGACAAAAATAATATCAATTTAGCAATCAGCAACATTCAGAAAAATAATAATTCTCGTCTGTTTAAGCAAACAAGTAATAACAACTAAAGGTGAGACAAACAACAAATCGTAGTTGTTGGGACACCATATCTGAAGAAAATAAATTAGAAAAAATATTGCAGTGAATAAAATAGAATTGTTTAGAATAAAAAAAAGACCTAATAAAGAAAATACTTTTAAAAAATTAATACAAATATGAGTAATATTTACAATTAAAATAGGGTGACTAAAAAGTAATTAAAAAATAAATTTAAAAATCAATTTGCAAAATACTTTTTAAAAAATATAAAAAATTTTAAGAAACCTATCTATTGTTGCTGGATAGTTTTAGTTTGTAATGAATGTTCAAAAAAACAGCATAAACACCAATATGGTGTTGCTAAATAGCATTATTCAGTCTGTCTTATCAGCTATTTGGCCATAAAACATTTTCATACAAAATCAAGTGCTGGAAAAAAAATTTACTAGTTTTTAAAATTAATTACTGGTAAATTAAAAACAAAGCCAACAAGTTAATCAGTGTGGTAGTCATTTAACTTTCAGTGATGTTTCTGTGTCAGAATTGCTAATATTTTTACCACAAGCAATGCCCAACAGCTAAACCTTAGCACTAGAAGTCAGTTTTCTCACAACAAATAACTTTTGGATGCCTTTTGTTATCACCTGGAAAGGATTACATACCAGAGTACACTGTATAGAGCACAGGTCTCCAAATGATGCCCACATCTGGCCTATCATAAAATTTTATCTGGCCTGCAGCAACTTGAAATAAATGGCTTGATTTTCTCATCTGCATTTAAGTAAACTTTTAATTTGGTAGCACATTCACTAATCTTTTATATTTTTAATCATTATAACTCATTTCTCTGTGTAAAATATACAATATGGTACTTATACTGAAAAGTTTGGAGACTGCTGACTTAGTGGTATCCTCTTACAAGACATTAGGAGAGAATTTGATTATGCTAAGTATTCTAGAATTTTACTGTTATCCCTTTACAAGACATTAAAAGAGAATTGAGTATTCTAGAAACGGTTCTGTAACAGACTAAGCTTAAAGAAAATTAATTTCTTTGTTAAAATGTAAGGCATTAACATAATGCCACTTAAACTGTAATTTTTTTTAAAAATTTATGTGCAATCTTTTTTAAAAATTTATATTCATATATTGTTGGGCATATATCACTGAAGATTATATACATGAAGACAGAATTGGTAAAAACAGGCAAGCAGTTTGTAAATTATTTTTCTGACACAACTAAGAAAAAAATGATGATTAAGGTAGTCATTTGTAAGAAAACAGATTTTTTTCACTGACTAAAGATTTTCTTTCTTTTAAAGTTTTTAATACTGGACTCTCATTACTCCCTTATTAGGAATGTTTTATCTGTTTCATGTGTCTGCATATGAGATCTGAAGGCACACTTGCCAAGAAGGACTTCACCACAATGATTGCAGTCAATTGCTTTCTTGTGTTTCTTGTGCAAAGAAAGACAGCTGGAATATGCAAATGTCTCCCGGCATACATCACACTTGTAAGGTGTGGCCCCAGTGTGGGTCCTCATGTGCACTGTAAGTGCTGACTTCTGTGTGAATCTTTTGTTGCAACACAGACACTGGAATGGCCGTTCCCCCGTATGTGTTCGCATGTGGGTGATGAGGTTACGCGAGATGGAAAATGTCTTGCCACACTGCTCACACTTGTAGGGTTTCTCGCCTGTATGCACACGTTGGTGCACTGTGAGGTCACTGGAGAGACGGAATGTTTTTGGGCACCACCTGCAAAGGTAAGGCCTCTCACCACTGTGAATGCGCAGATGGGCAACCAACTGTGAATTTTGCATGAATGATTTTCCACAGACTTGACAAGAATAGGGGCGGTTGTTGTTGCTACTGCTGGCCACGGGTGGTGGTGATTGTTCCTGCATTACATTTGGGGCAATGTTGCGGGTACTATTTCTTGTAGACTTGCTGGGGCTGCAATTTGAATTTTGATCTTGGGTATTTTGCTGATAATTCCCAAGAAGTTTGTTTGATGTTGCATTATTCTTTCTTGATCGGTTCCCAGTGGTATTGGTAAATTGATTAAAAGAGTCTGATTTATCATGATTCTTCATGTGCACCTTTAAGCTGTGTGAATATGCAAATGTCTCACCACACTGCATGCATATATAAGGTCGTACCCCAGTGTGAGTCCTCAGGTGCACAGTCAGAGCTGACTTTTGGGTGAAACGCTTGCTGCAGTGCTGGCATGGAAATGGCCTTTCTCCTGTATGTGTTCGAAGATGGGCAGTTAGGTTACGTGAAATGGAAAAGGCTTTTGGGCAGAACCTGCATTTGTAAGGTCGCTCCCCAGTGTGCGTACGAACGTGCACTGTCAGGTCACTGCGCACACGAAATGCCTTTGTGCAACAACGGCATCTGTAAGGCCTCTCACCTGTATGAATGCGGTAGTGTGCATTCAGGTGTGCTCGTTGGCTAAATGACTTGCCGCACACGTTGCACACTGATTCGCTTCCTTGCGAGGAAACATTGAGAGCATCTTGAAGTTCTAACAGGTTCTTTTGATCCGATACATCTGTGGTCTCAAGTGACTCTTTGCTATATTCTTCTACTGGAATATCTTTTCCTGGTTGGTTTGGAGTGCTCCTGGAACATTTTGGTTGTTTACTTCGCAAATTCATTCGATCAGTGATACGGAACCGTGTTGTCTGTGACTGATAACTGTTCATGCCATTTTCTGGTAATGGCTCCTTAGAAGCCCCTTCTGCAGAATTGTCTTGGTCAAAGTTAGGCAAATTCAAACCTGCTTGCACCTCTACCAAGTCACCCTTTCTTTCGTCATAAGACAATGATAGATACTCTTCAGGTAGCTTACTATCATAAGTCACTCGAGATTGATTGCTAGAATATCTTCGCCGTCTCCCTCTATTCTGGTTCTGAGGTTTGTGTATTCGCCGATGAACACTAAGCATGCTACTATTAGCAAAAGTCTGATTACATTCGTCACATTTGAAAACTTTACCAGCTACTGATTGGTCCTGAACCTTGCCAGCACCTGTGGTCATGTTATGCTGGTGTTTGTAGTGAACATTGAGGCTGTAAGAGTAAGTAAATGTCTGGTCGCAGAGTTGGCACTTAAAAGGCTTTGCTCCTGTGTGTGTCCTGATGTGTATGGTAAGAGCAGACTTCTGAGAGAATTGCTTACTGCAGTATTCACATCTGAAGGGGCGCTCACCCATGTGTGTTCTCATGTGAGCAGTAAGGTTCAGTAAAATTGGGAAACTGTGCCCACACATTTCACATTTGTAGGGACCTTCATCAGTGTGGCTGCAAGGATGAACTTTGAAATTATTTGCATTTTGGAATGATTTATTGCAAAACTGACATATGTAAGGTTTTTTGTCTGCATGGGTTCTAATGTGGGCTTGCAGTTGCCTTTTCAGACTGAAACCCTTTCCACATTCCTCACAGGAATATGAACAAGAAATGCCATTATCGTTTTCCAATGAAGGTTGGAATTCTTCTTTCTGGAAATTTTCGCTGTAGTCAGCATTAGAAACATTCAAATTCATGTCAGAAGGTGGATATATCATTGCTTCTGGTGAAAGTACCTGGGAAACTTTGGACTTTTTGCGGCGACTGCTAGAAGTCTGATATTGTATGGCCTTTTTCACATTGTCATTTGAAAGAGCCGGGTCAGCAGATGGGGTTGATTGTCCGTTGTAATCATCATCGTCATCAGTCAAGGCTTTGAACTTGAGAGATTCCATTATGTTAACAGCTTCAGGCTCTGCTTTTATAGTAGGTGCACCATCATTGTTAATAAATCCCTGGTTACTAAAAACAACATCTGACTGGTCTTTGACCAAACTTCTTGCATTCTGATAGCTATAGTGACTTTTGGCAGGGGATAGATAATCAGGCGTTGTGGATGCTGCAATTTGGGAAGGACTGGAGCAACCTTCAAGCTTGATCTTCACCACATTATCAGAGCCTTGTGAATTATTTGAATGTTCTTCAACATGGACAACTAGTTCTGAGTAATCTGCAAATGCTTGTCTACAAATGGTACACCAAAACTCCTTCTCCACAAACTGATTATTTTGGTGACGTTGTTTATGCTGTCGGAGGCTAGAAGAATGGGCAAATGATTGTGGACACAGCTCACATTTGAAAGGTTTTGACCCAGTGTGAATGCGCTGGTGTACAGTGAGGGCAGATTTCTGAGAGAAGCGTTTGGCACAGATATTACACTGGAATGGTCTTTCACCTGTGTGTACCCGCATGTGGGTGGATAGGTTCCGTAGGACCGTGAATGTTTTATCGCAGATTTTACAGTGGTAGGGACGATACCCTGTGTGAATGCGGGTGTGCACATTAAGGTCATTGGAAACCCGAAAGGCCTTTTGGCACCAAGTACACTTGTAGGGTTTTTCACCAGTGTGAATGCGAAGATGCACAATGAGCTGGTGGCGCTGGTTGAATGACCGGTCACAAAATGTGCAGGAGAAATTGCATCCGCCACCATTGCTAGCATGTCTGGTAATTATGCCACTTGTTTCAGTAAAGTCTGCAGGCAGCTGTTTTTTTCTCTTGCTATCATTTTCAACCTCATCATTCAGATAAACTACAATTTGGTTGTTAGATTTTTGACGACCAGTTCTGCGTTTCTTGACTGGATTCACCGTTAACAGATGTTCAGAATTTTTTAAATTTGCTTCCTTAGCCAAATCTTCTTTTTGGTATTCAGATTTAACGATTGTGTTTTCTTCTACATTTGTTGCAGCTGCTAAATGCTGCTTGTCATTTGCGATACTATAATCAGTTCCTGACCGTGGAACCAAAAACTTTGGATCTACTGAAGAATTCTGAAAACTTATTTTCGGAGAAATTTCTGGGTGAGACAACTTGAGGTGAGTCGAGAAGAAATAATAACGGCCAAATGTTTGAAGACAGTACTGGCACTTGAATGGTTTGAACCGGTATTGTAGAGAGTGTGTAAGTTTCTGATGTGGCCTCAAGTTAGATGCATAAACAAATTCCTTGCTGCAAACATTACATTTGAATCGTTTTTTGAATTCATGAATTTTCTGGTGAATAACTGATGCCTGTTGTTTTGTGAACTTCCTAAAGCAGTGCTGACAGTTAAATTTACGTTTCTTCTTCCAATGTTGGACCATATGTTTGCTAAGGTTCTTGAATAAACCAAAACCATGCTGGCAGTGCCAGCAGATATAAGTTTTGGGCCTGGCTTTAACTTTTCGAGAAATCATGGCATGATGACGCTGGGACAGATGTTTGGCATATTTGAAATACGAATTTAGCTTTCCACCAAAACCACCACCTTGGTGGCTACTGTTTGCCAGGGATTGTTCTGGGTTTTGCTTGCTTCCAGAGGCAGTATCCACGCTGTCTTCAAAAATTTTATCCAGTTCTTCCCCATATTCTGCAATTTGAGCATTGTATCCTTCTGAGGAAATCTGATCAAGAAGTGATTCAGTCTTACTTTGCAGTGTTTGATAAGGGAGGAAATTACCTGCTTTTGCAGAGTTATCTCCCTTTGTATCAAATCCAGCACTTTGGTCATCAAACTTAGAAAGAAGGTCAGAATTCTGCAACAAGTCTGAATAATCTAGGTTTGGCATTGGTTGATCTTGGAATTCTGAGTACAAATCAGAAAGTAAGTTGTTAGCTTTACCCTTGCCTTTTGAAACTGCCAACTTTTTCTTTGAGTTCTTCTTGGACTTTGGATTTGTCTGAGAGGCTTGTTTTTTGCTAGCATTAGTATTGGTTGGTTCTTTCAACTGGCCATCTTTATGAGCTGATTTTTTTTCAAGAAGCAATGGGTCAAGTTTGCCATTTTCATTCTCATGTGACTTCATGTGCTGTGCCATGGTGCATGCACCAATGTACATACCCTCACAATAATCACAACGGTACAGTTTAGAATTGCGCAGGTGGGAATTAAGGACATATGAGTAAGCAAACTGCTTGCCACAAGCTTTGCAAAGGTAGGGCTTTTCACCAGTGTGTATACGGCTGTGTGTACGCAGGGCACTCTGCTGTGTAAAGGATTTACTGCAGGTCTCACATTTGTAGGGTCTTTCACCAGTGTGGATTCGCAGGTGTGCAACAAGATTCCGTGAAATAGCAAAGCCACGATTACAAAACTTGCACTTGTAAGGCCGCTCACCTGTGTGAGTTCTTGCATGGACCTTCAGATCATACTGACGACTGCACTGTTTTCCGCACTCTGTGCACATGAATGGATTTGGGCTCTTTGAATGCTTATCCAAGTGTTTGGCAAACAGCTTGGAATCACAGAACACCATACAACAAAGGTTACACTTGTAGGTGTGTACCATAGAAGGGGTATCATTGGCTGAAGCAGTCACTGCAGCTACAGTGGGGGTACTGGTGTCAGTCAGTAAATCCAGCTGGGAGTTATCCATCATTGACATGATTGAAGGCATTGAAGATGATGCCATCATAGTGGATGCTGATGACATAAAAGAAGAGGGAGAGTTTTCTGACTTTTGTATTTCCTGCAATGGTTGAGAGTTACTGACATCAGTGGCTGATGGCAGAAGGGGGTCAGTATTTTCACTGGTATTGTTCAAAAAGGAAGTGGATGCAGTTGATGGTAGTGATTTTAGGGCATCATTGAGAGCAGAAGTGTAAATGTCCTGATCAAAGAGTGAGGCAATATCCAATTTACTGTCAATGAGACATGAAGACTTGGAACCCTCTTGCTTGATGGGGATGCTGTCATGAGATTTAGAGTCATAGAGAGATTGAAAGGCAGGATTATCATTAATAGTTGGCTTCTCAATTAAGTGTTCTTCTAGTGGTGTGCTATTGTCAACAGGGTTATTGAACCCAGTGGAATTATTTGGATAATCTTCCCAGGTGGCACTGTCACACTGGTCAAGGAATTTAGGTTTTTTGTCAGATGCATTATTCTCAAAGTAAAAAGATCCACTGAGACTCGACGAGGAAAAGGGACCAACGTCTGTGTTCTTAGGATTGTCTTTGACCTTTTCAGTAATTGAGGCTAAGCTTCCAAAAATATTCTCATTGTTGACTCTGGTTGGTGCACTTGAGTCAATACTGAGTGTTGACTGAAATGTTGGACTTCCCAGCACTTCATCTTTATCTGAAATTAATGAATGGGGCTTCAACCGACCGAAAATATGATCTGAAGTGGATTTGGAAGTCTGGAAGCCCCTCAGTAGACTGGGTGGCTGATACAACTTTGCTGCTGATCCAAAAGTAACAGTGGAATAATCCTGGTTGATTGTCTTTGACAGACGTTGACCATTGCTTATCTGAGTGGCACCAAGTGATTTTGCAATGATTTCCCGTAGGTTGTTATATATTGAAGGAGGTTGATTGGGATCTGTATCTTTTTCTGAATGTGGGTCTGTTTTGTCAAGTGCATTGTTTCTACTACTCTCTGAGATCTCAGCTTCTATTTTTGTTGTAACTTGGGCCACAGAACTCTCAGCTGTTGGCATTTCTAAAGATAAAAGTCTCTTCTTCTTCCTCCTCCTCCTCTTCTTCTACCTCCTCCTCCTCCTCATCACTTTTCTCAGAGTCACTGTCCTCATTGTGGGACTTCCAGTGTTCAGCTAGGACTTCAATTTGGTCAAACCCTTGGGAACAAATTGAACATGAATAAAGATTTTCCTCTTCTGGTTGTGTGTAATCTGAAAATCCTAGCACAGTGTCTTGCTTAAAAGGTTTACATTTTCTCCTATTTCTACCACTTCCTTGACGGCCACCACGTGCTCGTTTGCAGCCACCCAAGTGACTAGGAGTAGTTGTAGGTGTTGTAGGAGTCACTGGTGTAGTATTGATAGCAGTGCTAATGTCCTGGCTGCTGTTGTTATTTGGAGCCCCACGAGTGTGTTCTTTAAGATGCATTTTTAGACTGTTGGAATATGCAAATTGCTTGGCACAAAAAATACATTGAAAGGGTTTATCACCTGTGTGGATTCTCATGTGAACATTGAGGGCTGATTTCTGTGTGAAGGCTTTGCCACACAGTGAACACACAAATGGCCTTTCTCCAGTGTGGATGCGTGTGTGAGCAGTGAGGTTCCGTGAAACAGCAAAGGCCTGGTCACAGAATTTGCATTTGTAAGGTTTCTCCCCTGTGTGTGTTCGGAAGTGCACCTTGAGGTCAGATGCTGTTCGAAATGCCCTGCTGCACTGTGAGCAGACATGTGTTTTCTCCCCTGTGTGCACTTTCAAGTGTATCTCAAGTCGGGACTTATTGGCAAATTCTTTGCTGCAAAAGGAGCAAACAAATGAAGATTCACCCATACCTGCTGATCTGGTTTGAACAGGTTTTGTTTATACAGACAAATATGAGGAAGAAGGAATAACTTTGGCATTGGCAAGGAGAAAATTAAAAAGGGAGAAAAGAAAATTGTATTTATCTTAGCAGCAGTATAAGGCAACTTAATAAACTTTAAAAAAAAATTTTTTTTTTTACTTTTAAGCTAGCTGCTAATTGCAGTCTGTGGTTTATGTATACAAAATTCACATTGTGGCTTCAGAGAGAAAAAATAAAGTCAGCCGCCATTGAGTTTTAGTTGATAGAGCATTGTATCAAAGTTTCTTATTCCAGTTCCTAAATCCAATGTCTTCATTCAATGCCATCTCAGTAGTATAAAGACCATTAGAAAATCGTTCAGAGCATCAACTCATGGCTTGATCTGGAAGAAAAAAAATAAGAAAAAGGTGTGAAAAAATGCTTTGTTTTTATATCATATTCTACATTATTAAGATTAATGGTCTAATAATAGTTTAACAAGTGGATATTGGAGTTTTAATAGCTCAAGTGGTGATTCTTCAATTCATTATGTCTAAAAAATTCTTTCAATATCTCACATGAAATAATTAAATCAATATACATGTCAGATCAATTTTAAATAATTTGTTTTGTATTCAAAACCAGCAAAGTTCATGTACAGCATAGACAAGCACTTAATATGCAATCAGTTCAGCATTATTATACATTTGCACCCCACCACAAAATGCCATATATTTACTTCCTGCATTCTTAAATTTACTTTGTGACATTTAGATTGCATGTCTGGAATTATATTTTCAATCAAGAAAATCAGCGCCAATTCATTTTATACACAGACATTGCAAACTAGTGAATTCTATTCTATGGTCATAGAAATTTTAGGGCCTCTATAACATCAAACTTTCTCTCCCTTGGACCCAGCCGAGAGCAAATAATTTCTCGATTAACATTCCAGCATAGTTTCTGCATGATTATAAGAATTGTAACAATATTTGTGCATTGCTTTTATTCATTCTTATGTAAGAATTCTGACCAATCAAGATTTGTATAAAGGTGTTTTCAATTTAATACAAATTTAAGAACCAATGATATTAAACAAGATGTAAATCTATGACAATTTGATTCCAAAAATGATTGATATCGAATCAAAGATTCAAAATACTAACTCTGCAAAGTAATCATCCATCATATCACAATTTGTTGGTTCATGTATTGATTTAATTTTTTCATTGGCCCCAACCTTACACATGATTTTTGTTTGTTAGGGGTGCAAAAGTATAATAGCACCGTCAGTCCATTCATCCATGATCATGATCACCATCACCTATCACTCTTCACGGTGAAGAGAGATGGTCCTACTTCTATTAATTATCATCTATGATATTGAAATGTAAATCTTAACAATATAAGCCATCTTGTTTTAACATAACATTATTTAATTTTAATAGAAGGAATAAAAATTTGAAATTTTAGATTATTATTAATATTATTAATATAGTATTAATAATAATCAACGCAAAATCATGGCACACAGAATATGTTGAATGTGCTGGCTGCAAAAGCCATTGATAAAGTGACCAATTCTTAAAGGACACTTTGAAGCATGACCTTGGGACTTACTTAGCATGAAGTTACTCTTTCTTTTATAGAATTTAATTAGTAATATTATTTATTTAATTAAATCCATTTCCGTTTGAAGATAAAGTTAAAGTAAAAGAATAAAAAATACAACTATTAAAGAGGAAGAGACTCATTAATTTTTCATAGCAAAATCTATTTTGTATCAAATTTCGAGAAGAATACAAAAATAGAAGCTGATGGGAACTTATTTAAATACAAGTAGATTGATTATTAAGAGATGAATAAATCTCCATTTCTAATGAAGAACACAGAATTAAGAGTTGATTTCTATTAAACATTAAAACACAACCCATTTTTAAAAAATATAATGCTCCTAAATAGAAGGACTTTATGAGAATTAACAAAATCTTCAATCATAAAAGCAGATCAAAGAAAACAAACAATCCCAAATCTTTTCATAAGAGGAAAATACAAAATGCTTTTAATAATCTTTTATTCAAATAAAGTCAGTACCACTACACAAAAATATTGTAATAATTTAATTATCTTCTTTGAAGTATGGAAAACCAAAAGTGATAAAAGTACAATGTGTCACCAGTTAACAAGCTTATTGAGAGATCAGTTGCAAATGCCTGCATAAATTGACTGGAAGTACTCAGGAATTTAATTAAAATATTTCTTAATGTTCCATATATACTAATTGCAAAAATCCCAGTATGTAAAAAACATTTTCTTTTAATACATTCTGTTCAATGGATTTTGTTAACCATCACATTTCTCAATTAATAAACAGAAAAAAAAGGTCATTGTTATTACTTAACATTTTAGAAAAATCCATGGAGCATAATAATAAATATATCCATTTATTTAATTAAATTATTTAATTTTTTAAACACTTATTAATTTAATTAAATAAATCTTTTAAAAATAAATTTTTCAACATATTTTTTTTTCTTTTCACAACCCAACAATAAATGTCTACAGTATAAAAAAGCAACTATAAGTTAAAATAATTTAGTTTTATTGCAGGTTATATTTTCTGTTTGAGGGCATAACCTTCTTCTTCTATGAGTCATATCCATTTAGAATGTTGGTGATTATGGCTCTCCACAATTTTCGATCCTTTGTAGCTCTTAATAAATTTTGTCCTTTTATTAGCTCTCCTAAACCCTGTTCTGCAATCTCTTTACAAGCTAGTGAGCTAGGTTACCTGTTGTTTTCCTGTCTCTCTTGCCTTCCTGCATCAAATTTTCCAAGTCCACTTTCCTCACTATGTGCCCTAGAAATTTCAACTATCTCTTTCTGATGTTAAGTATAAGGCTCCTTTAATAAAATTTTAATTGAGTTAATCCTTTTGAGCATTTATTTTTAGAAAAATATAAATATTTTTTGCATCCTAATATTTTACTAAGATTTTATAAAAAATTAAAAAAAATAAAATTTTCTAGAATCTATTTAAATTACAAAAAAATCTTACAAATGAATAAATAATGAAAATTTTATTGAAACCTGATAATTAGCTAATTTTTTATAGATTTTTAAAATCAAAGTGTATTTCATTCGACTATGTTATTTCTACAGGTAAAAAATGTTTTAAAGTATAAAAAACTCTTAAATGACAAGAATCTCTGATTATGTGCACTAGACAATTTTTATATCAGAACTTTCTCCAATCCTTCTTTCAAAGATTATTATGATAAAATCAATGTTTTACAAATTTTGGGATTTTATACACTGTTTTGTTTACAAATGTATATCTCAATATCCGATAATGGCATCCCAAATTTCCAGAAACCGATTCTATAAAGGCAGATAATCTTTAGGAACCTATTCTGCTTATTTTCTTTTCAATCTGAGGATGGAAAGAAATCACTTTAGTATCAAAAAGAATTAAATCATTTTGATAATTTAATAGAAAACATTTATTTATTTAGATATTTCCAGATTAAAATTCTGTTCTCATCATATTTCTGTTCAGAAGTATGATGCTTTTTGACTCTAGTGTCTTCAGCTGTGTTATAGTTTCTTAGCTGTGTTCAAACTATTGCAATCCCAAAGGTCCAATGGAAGACTTATCAAATTTAAGACTAGAAGATTTATCACATTTTTAACTTCAAGATAATTTCTTTTTTCAGAATAAATTGTGCATCACAGAAAACCCTCTTTCAGTCTCCACAGAACTTACAGCAATGGTATTAATTTTATTTTTAGCTATTATTTATTGGCTATTAATATATATAAAGATTTTTTTTTGGCAATCCAACAACGGTTCAGTAAGCTTTTTTAATGGTCAGTTCATACAAGGGTAGGGAGAAACCTTTGCTAATACCTAATATAAATTTCTTCTTTCATTTATGTACCATGTCCCTTCAGGACGTAGATGATCATGGCTCTCCACTTCCCCCATCCCTTGTAATTCTCAATAAGTTTTGTCCTTTTGCTACTTCCGCCATTCACTTGCTTAAGCCTGCTAAGTATATCACATGTTACTTTCCTTTGTCTCTCTTTTCTCTATTTGCCTGAGTATCCAATTCTCAGGCCTTAAACAGTTCATTACGTGTCCCAAAAATTTCAGCTGCCTCTCCAAAATCTCATCATTGCTGACATGTTTGGTCC